CGCTTCACACTGAAGTCTCCATACCATTTCACACCAATGTCTTCTGACCGTTTCACACTGAATTCTCCCTTCCATTTCACACTAATGTCTCCTTACCATTTCACACTAATGTCTCCTGACCGTTTAACATTAATGTCTTCTGACTGCTTCACACTGAAGTCTCCTTTCCATTTCACACTGATGTCTCCTTACCATTTCACACTAATGTCTCCTTACCGTTTAACATTAATGTCTTCTGACCGTTTCACACCTGAGTCTCCCTATGGTAGATTCCTTGCCGTTTCACACTCATGTCTCCCTACCATTTCACACTTATGTCTCCTGACCATTTCACACTAATGTCTCCCTACCATTTCACACTTATGTCTCCTTACCATTTCACACTAATGTCTCCCTACCATTTCACACTAATGTCTTCTGACCGTTTCACACTAATGTCTCTCTACCATGTCACACTAATGTCTNCACACTAATGTCTTCTGACCGTTTCACACTAATGTCTCTCTACCATGTCACACTAATGTCTTCTGACCGTTTCACACTTAAGTCTCCCTACCATTTCACACTAATGTCTCCTTGCCGTTTCACACTTATGTTTCCCTTCCATTTCACACTAATGTCTCCTTACCATTTCACACTAATGTCTCATTACCGTTTAACATTATTGTCTTCTGACCGTTTCACACCTGAGTCTCCCTATGGTAGACTCCTTGCCGTTTCAGACTCATGTCTCCCTACTATTTCACACTTAAGTCTCCCTACCATTTCACACTAATGTCTCCTTGCCGTTTAACACTAATGTTTCCCTTCCATTTCACACTAATGTCTTTTGACCGTTTCACACTAATGTCTCCATACTATTTCACATTAATGTCTCCCTTCCATTACCACTCAAGTCTCTCTACCGTTAACACTAATGTCTTCTGACCGTTTCACACTTAAGTCTCTCTACCATGTCACACTAATGTCTTCTGACCGTTTTACACTTAAGTCTCTCTACCATGTCACACTAATGTCTTCTGACCGTTTCACACTAAAGTCTCCCTACCATTTCACACTAATGTCTCCTTGCCGTTTCACACTAATGTTTCCCTTTCATTTCACACTAATGTCTTCTGACCGTTTCACACTAATGTCTCCATACTATTTCACATTAATGTCTCCCTTCCATTACCACTCAAGTCTCCCTACCGTTTAACACTAATGTCTTCTGACCGTTTCACACTTAAGTCTCTCTACCATGTCACACTAATGTCTCCTTACCGTTTCACACCTGAGTCTCCCTATGGTAGACTCCTTGCCGTTTCACACTAATATCTCCCAACCATTTCACACTAATGTCTCCTTACCATTTCACACTAATGTCTCCCTACCATTTCACACTAATGTCACTCTTCCATATCACACTAATGTCTCCTTACCATTTCACACTAATGTCTCCTTGCCGTTTAACATCAATTTCTTCTGGCCGTTTCACACCTGAGTCTCCCTATGGTAGACTTCTTGCCGTTTCACACTAATATCTCATAACCGTTTCACACTAATGTCTCCCTACCATTTCACACTCATGTCTCCTTACCATTTCACACTCATGTCTCCCTACCATTTCACACTCATGTCTCCCTACCATTTCACACTAATTTCTTCTTACCATTTCACACTCATGTCTCCCTACCATTTCACACTAATGTCTTCTTACCATTTCACACTCATGTCTCCCTACCATTTCACCCTAATTTCTTCTTACCATTTCACACTCATGTCTCCCTACCATTTCACACTTATGTCTCCCTACCATTTCACACTAATGTCTCCCTATCATATCACACTAATGTCTCCGTACAATTTCACACTAATGTCTCCCTACCATTTCACACTAATGTCTCCTTACCATTTCACACTAATGTCTCATAACCGTTTCACACTAATTTCTCTTTAATTTAAACTATAACCCCTGGATATCGAGGATGGGGGTTACGCTCACTTTCGCTCTCTACACCCCGGGAATATGTCATAGCAAAATTGAAGACACGAAGATAGCTGTTTGTTTGGTCTCAGGTAAAATCGCTAGGCTGATACCTGTCCTTTGAAGAGTACAAAGGAGAGCCTCCCGACTTCAAAGCCTGCCAATTTTTACCGTTACGTGACCGCGAGATTCTTTTTATGTATATCAAAGGATCGAACAAGTATATTCGTCCCATGCACAAAGTGGCACACACTGAGCCTTCAATTTTGCTATGACATATTCCAGGGGTGTAGAGAGCGAAAGTGAGCGTAGCCCCTGGAAATGGAGGATGTAGTGAGCGTAACCCCAGGATATGGAGGATGTAGCAGGTTTGAAACGCTGACTTGTTATTAGACTACTTTGCTGTTAACATCTCTGTATATCGAGATTAAGTGTAATAAGTACATTATTCTTATTAGGAAAACGTATAAATTGAAGATCTAATCAAATATACATCTATTTAAATATTTAATCAATTCTCTTGATATCATCAGTAATATACATCACTTTCATAGTGTATTAAACTATTCAAATAATTTATCTTAATTATACCCTTTTTCCCGTTTCTTCTTTATGATACATTGAAGTACCGTGTGCTTTTTCTTCTACTTCTTCGTATTTCTATAAAAAATATTATCATAGCACGGGGGTTGACAATGTTTGCAGGCTATACATATAAGTCCCCGAGCTTTGCCGTATTCGTGTAGGTGGTATTCATTCTGGCTATGTTTATCAGAAATACTAATCAAATATTTGTTTTAAGTAAAAAACGTAAATTTTTAATGTCATTTAAGTTTTAAATGGCACCCTCATCAATGCGCTGTAGTTTTAAATAAGTTTTGGATGATTTTTTTTTATTTTCGTAATGTCGTGCCGCTGATAGAAGTCATATATGTAAATAAAAATAAAGAGCATATTGGGCACTAAATTATCTACATTGATTCGCTTTCTGCATCCAGAAACTGATTTTTTCATATGTCTTGTTTACATCTTATTTCTCGGTATGGCCTTTTTTTCAGCATTAAAAGCTTATACTTAAACCTAAAACAGCACACTCCCTGCAACGTTACACCCTCTAGCACACACACACATACAACCATACACACACTCCCATATGTACCAGTCGGAGTCACGTGTGTACGTACGTAATGTGTAACCGTAGAAATCTACATATATAATATACTATACAGACTACTCCCTGCCCAAGTCAAAATAAACAATAGGCATTTAGCCCAACACCAGGTAACATTACAACACAAAACTGATTGACGTGCGCCGTGTCAATCATACAGACAAAAGATACGAAACTATCACTACACTAAGATATATAGAGAGACAACTCATATTCCTACTTTCGTTTTGAATACGAGAATTGTCAATGTCGACTGTAGTGTTTACTGTTAAATAAAGAAATGATGTTATCTAATATTCTTATCGGGGACCCGGAGAGGATATTGTTATTACCATTTTGCTCGGCAGCATAGTGCAAGGTGAGGAAAGATAGTGAAGTGTGAACGCAGGAAAACGCCACACAGATTAACGTTATCTAGGATGTAAATTACTCATTCCGCATACATCGTATACTTTGTATTTTCTTTCATTTTACAAGTAGAGTGATTTACTCTCTTAAGAAATATTTGTATGTTTATAAAATAATACAAAATTTAAACCAAATTTATTAACATAAAACCAATAATTTTGAGAGTGTACTACATGTTATACAGTATGTCTTTTTCATTGTTCCTAGACGAAGTCACAGAACAGATGTACTGGACGACTCCCTGATTTGTCATGCCTTGTAAACAAAACCCACAAGTATTCATCTCATACAGTGCAAAAGACTTGGAGTTAGTGCGGGAAATTCAACGTGGTCTGCAGAGGAAACAACCAGGTAAAGTGTTATAAATGGACAGCGTAAAGTGTTTTAAATGGACTAATATGAAAAGGCAAAGCCTTAAAAGAGCGTAGCTTTTGTTGATCTCTGATATTTACTGATTCCGAATACTGCTTTCAGAATGAGATAAGATAAACTTTATTTAAGGTCGGCTAGTCGAGGAATAAGAATAAAACATAAGCTCTAATGAGAGTAAGACCGACATAATAATAGGAGAGGTCGGGACAAGTTCGGCCTATTTTTATTAAAGTCCGTTCTGGGAAGTATTGCAGCATGTCCGTTTTTGAACATTACTTAGTTTTCCCTGTCGGAAGTTCGGATGGCCGAACGTCAGCCCCGCCATGGGATAAGTTCGGACAGGCATTCGGGTAAGTTCGGCCCACATTGGAATCAGCTTCATCATGACGTCATAAAGCAGGCATCGTCAGATTTTGCCGCCAATTTTACGACTTTTTATGTGATACATGGGCCAAACTTGCCACAGTATTATTAGCCGAACTTGTCCGGGCCCAAATTGATTTGGATACAAAAAGTGACGGACAACAGCAACTGAGTAGATACAAAAAGTGTTAGACCACAACAGCACCTGAATCTTCTCAGTTGCTGTTGTGGTCTGTCACTTTTGGTTATTACTAAGTTGCTTGATTAATCTTGGCACCTGATGCTTTTTCATATGATTTTTATAGTTTAAATGCTTCTCGAATGGAGTTAATTTTCTCCTGTTTAGTAATTTTTACATTAGAGTTTTCCTCACCATTTTTTCGTGTGAATGCCCAGCCAACTAAACTGCTAAGATCCTTAAAGTTGTAAACATTACCGCAAAACAATAATATCAGGGGTGGTCGAACTTGCCCGGGTCTCCCGGTCTCCCATTACAGATCTTTTGTATCCTTGACAATTGGTAAACCAGAAACTTAACAGTTAGCGTGAAAACTTTAATCATTAAATCACTAATAATATCTATTATAGGATATGAAATAGAAGCGAGGGGCATACCATGTAAATATCTAAAAGAAATTAACAGGATAATTTGGGATTACATCTGGGATGGAAAAGTAAATCAACTGGAAAGAAAAATGTGTTGTAGTAAATTAAAAAAAGGTGGTATGGGAATGGTAGATCTTGAAACATATGTACAAAGTAAACAAATAAAAACTATATATAAGATAATCCATTCTAAAAATGAGAACTGGAACTCTATAGGTAGATACTATCATTCTAAATTAGACGTGAAGTATAGGTCAAAAATGTGTTAGTGCACTTGTTCGGACCTACAAGGCCTTGCTATTAACAGAATACTACCAACTTTTTATGAAGATAGCTTGAAAGCATGGGCAAAACTTAAAAGAGTCAACGCACCTATTAACAAAATTGAAATTCTAAACCAAAATTTATTTGGGAACACCTACATACAGTTTCGGAACAAAGCCTTTTTTATATGTAGTCTTTCTCATTAAGTGGTATCACAAAAATAGCAGATAAAGAAGGAATTTAAAGGGAATGATATTATATTTGCAATAAACAGAATTGCATGGATATCAGAAATCTCTAAAATTAGGAAAGCTATACCTCTAAATTTTCTCAGAGTATTAAAAGATCATACTGGAAATAATCACATAGATAATCTTAAGTCAGAAGGCCTCTTCATAAATAATAAATTTGAAATAATTTTGCCATTATGTAAGGGAACAAAAATTATGAAAATTAAAGACTTTAATATGACCATGCTACAAAATACATGACTTCCAAAAACAAGACCTAAAACAGAAATGAAGTGGGAAGATGAACTTCAAAAAACATTTAATTGGGAGAAAATATGGGGGAATAATGAATGTAAACTGATTGCAACAGAAACAAAAATAAGGGAACTCCATTGGAAATGTAAATTAATTTATACTGAATATAAACTCCATGTTATGAACCGAACCAACGGTATATGTCATATGTGTAATATTGAATTAGAAACATTGAGCCACCTTATTTTTCATTGTAACTTTGTTCTACAGTATACTAATTCAGAACGACAAACTATTGCAAGGTATTAACTAGCACCTAGACATATTGAAGCCTTTTTTTTTTTTGAGGGGGTGGGGGTGTTCGGAAAGGAAAATGTTTTTTAATAGATTATACTCCGACTATTATCTACACATGCTCTAGACACAAAACTATAATGCTAACATGGCACTTTAATTCGCTGAATTGGATGATGTTATATACCATACAAAGTATTACATATATACTAATGTTTACCATATAATAACGTTTGTGCGAAGTCTGTTCACCATCGTTACTCTAACCGGAAATCGGACACTAGCTTATATAATACAATAATAATAAGAATAGAGAATGGACAAGAATATCCGGAAGTTTATTTTTTATATCAAAAATGTGAATTTATTCTTATTTGTTAATATATATGTATGACGAATACTGATACTTGATAGACTATTTTGAACAGTATGTACATTATTTAAAGGCGCTTCTAGACACCCATGTACATTGTATGTATATATATATATGTTTATGTCATGACATTTTGAAAATATAATAAATACAAAAAAAAAAAGGTACACTTCCGGTTTCCCCACTGGATGTCTACTTACGGACGAAAAAAATAGAAGGCAATGTGTAGCAAGGGGAAGCAACCTTGTTTACGCATGTATGTGTTACCATTAAAGAGCTGGTGCCCGAGAGCTACGCTCTTATTACAAATGTTGGCATGGATATTAGTGAGCAGGGTGCCTTACTGTGGCAGGAAACCGAGTACCCAGAGAAAACCCACGTGATTGGGCAGGTACGTGACCCCATACCTTTTTTTCATGTACGATCGGGGAATCGAACCCCGGCTGCCTTGGTGAAAGGCAAGTGCGCTATCCACTTCATCACCCGACCACCCAGTACAGTACAGAAATTACCTGTGTAATAAGTATTTGACTATTCTATTTCAGTTGGAAATGGTGGTATGCTTAGCCTCAGACTTTTCTCATGTAAATATTTATGTTCGATGAGGTAATTTGTGGAAAACTTCAAAATCTTGCTGTTTCAATTTAGTGATTGTTTTTCTCAAAAAATTGTTAAACATCAATTTCAGAAAATAAAACAGGCATTTTTGTTCAGGCACAGAATATGTTATTCCTATTTTTATTACTATTTTTTATTTTATTTTTGTAGATAATAAATAACAAGTTCTGTTTTGATCATTTCCCATCATTTTATTAGCCAAGGAAAATGTGAATACTCATTTTAGCCTCAGTTTCTACATCCAGTAAACACTTTGACATGATGAAAACCCTATACAACTTGTACAGCCACAGAAAGACAGTCATTAGGCCAGTAAAAATGGACTGAATAAAATAGTCACTAAAATGCACTATTAACCTAAGAAGTAGATTTCAAACACAGTATGTCATCATTCCTTTGTTTGGATAGATCACCAATATGAGATTAATTAGGGCCCCGTATCGGAGATACGGGTGCCCTATAGTAATCACTCTGTCTGTCTGTCTGTCCGTCTGTCTGTCTGTCTGTCTGTCAGTCCACAAATTGTGTTCCTGGCTGATAACTTTGATATTTATAGACCGATGTACATGAAACTTGGTCAAGATGTTTAGTTCACCAAAATACACATTGAGGTAAAAAGTCAAGGTCAAAGGTCAAGGTCATTCCCTGATGAACATTTTGTTATGACATTATGAAGCAAAGTTGATAAGAATTAAACAAGGCATCAACTGACCAAAGGTCAAGGTCATCGGGTCAGTGGTCAAGGTCAAATTTTGTAGCTTTTCACTGGTGAACATTTCGCTATGACATTATGGAGCAAAGTTGTTCGAAATTAAACAAAGAGACACACTGAGGTAAAAAGTCGAGGTCAAAGGTCAAGGTCATTAGGTTCAAAGGTCAAGGTCAAATTTTACATGTTTTCACTGATGAACATTTTGTTATGACATACTGAAGCAAAGTTGATCAAAATTAAACAAGAAGTCAACTGACCAAAGGTCAAGGTCATTGGGTCAGGGGTCAAGGTCAAATTATGCACCTTTTCACTGATGAACATTTTGCTATGATATGATGAAGCAAAGTTGATCAGAATTAAACAAGGGGTCAACTGACCAAAGGTAAAGGTCATTGGGTCAAAGGTCAAGGTTGAATTTTGTATCTTTTCACTGGTGAACATTTCGCTATGACACTTTGAAGCAATGTAGCTCAGATTAAACAAGGAGTCAATTGACCAAAGGTTAAGGTCACTGGGTCAAAGGTGATCGGTTAAATTTTGTATCTTATAATGAACATTTTGTTATGACATTATGAAGCAATGTTGTTCAGAACTTAACACAGAGTCAACTGACCTTAGGTCCAGGTTACGGGTTTCAAAGGGTCAAGGTCAAGTTTTGTATTTTCACTGATGAACATTTTGTTATGATATTAAGGAGCAAATATGGAGGTGGAAGGAAACAAGACTCACATCATAGTACATGTAAAATGTATATTTTGCTTCCTTGCGATTCTTTTTGAAGTCCACATATCAAACGTCAAGCTCAGCTATATGGGCAGATAGTTTCTTGATGATTATGGGGGGATATATTGCCACAAGACGGGGGCCCTTACTGACCTGTCAGTGTTCTAGTTACATCTGGAAGTAGGCAGGGAAGGTACTTTCAAGTATTTTTGTAGAGTTAGCAGGCATATGTTGCCAACTTGGTGACAATTCTTTAGCCTCTAACACCACTGGAAGACCTTCAGGAATGACTGTCCCTCTCATTACTAGTCTCACATCAGTCTCCTCCCCGTCAAGTGCAGGCTTCACCTTTAGCACCCCTAAAATGAAATTTAATTACATGTAGTGTAAATATATCAACAGAAAGTATATGCATTAAATAGCAGTTAATATATTTAAGGTTTGGTGATCATCTATATGCCACACAATATACAATAATGTCCAGTTGTATTGCGAAGTAAAATAGTTTTATAAAAAGAATGCATTCTTTACACATTCATTA